GAAAGAAAGAAAGAAAGAAAGAAAGAAAGAAAGAAAGAAAGAAAGAAAGAAAGAAAGAAAGAAAGAAAGAAAGAAAGGCAGTAGCAGAACAAGCCTTAATTTGGCAAAATTATACCAACTGTATATAACAAAATTGTATTACCAACTGGAGAGTGATTGTAGCCAATTATTATTGGAGAATGTTTAAAATACTATTATACAAATGCATATTGTATATGTTGTACATTAAAAAAGAGAATAGTTTCTTTTTTAAAAAATCAAGGAACAGAAGTTTCTTGAGTTTATTATTCCCAAGATTATGCAATCTTTGGAATATATCTACTGTTTTATGAAAGATGAATTACTAATTTAGAAACATTGATTAATTCTCCCAAGATATCCTCTCAAATACAGGCAGTAATAGCATCACAGCTGAAGAATAAGTAAATATTATTTATTATGAAATAATGTTTACATTTAATAACCCTCAAGAAACTCTGATCTAAAACATATTACTTTTAGTATTAAGTATACTCCAAACTTTTTCAATATTATGAGAAATCCAATTTATAATTCTGTAAAAGGATTTGTCTACTATTCTTAAGTAACCATTATTTTGTAATGTAAGGTTTTTACAGGTAAAATAGAAATTGCATGTATGAGTCATATTATACATACATATCTTCTTAAACTGAATGCAAGTTTTGTAATTAGGGAAACAGTTATTCCCAATCATCATATGATTCTAATTTTGAGCTGAATCTGGAAATTCCTTATTTCAATAAGATTAATTCAAGATTAATCAAACAAATGCCCAGTTATAACCTGAAAAATAAAAAGTTAAATTCACTTTCCCAACAGGCATATTTATACCACCCAATTTTAAAGGATGTTCCTATCAAAGGAAAAAAAATAGTAGCTTTGTAAATTTGTCTAAAATAGTATAAAGGAATAAAAATAGGAGACATTTTAAAATATAAATTTTCCTTGGAGTTATATTCACCTTATTCACAATTATCTTGCCCCATATACTCAAGAGAATTTCCAGACCATCTGTTTCACTTTTTGCCAAAATTAATTTAAATATATCAGTTGAAAAAGCTTTAAAGAATCAGGATAAATAAAAGCAACCTCCAACTCCGGGTCTGTAAAGACCTGGCTTTCCCCCCAGGGTTGGACAAGGATATTTGTTGAGCCCAATAAAGGTGCAGCTGATTTAGCAGCTGTTTAGAATGCCTTGGTTAATGTGAGTTCCATAGTTGTTTAAAGTGCTCTTTTGTGCTTTGAGCTGCCCAAAATTATATATTTTAAGATTTGTGGCAAAATAAATGTTGTAAATCATCAAATCTAATTTACTCCATTAGATTCTTAGACAAAGAATCTAATTCCTGTAATAAGAGGTATGGTAAGTTTATGGATAGACATATGAGATATCTATTTATAACTATATATTATCTTGTATCTCACCTACTACATTGTCTTTAATATTTTTAGAATTTCTAAAAGTGCAAGGAAGAGGTTAGTCCCTAGTGTCTTATCCCTTATGAATCTTAATGTTCAAAATATTCTGAAATATATAGATTATTTGGTCCTCTGGCCATGAATACTGCATTCCAACCACTGCCCAGGCAATGCAGTGGTTAGAACACAATATTGCATGTTAACTTTGCCCAAAGTCTGGAATTCAACCCCAACAGGCTCAAAGTCGACTTAGCCTTCCATCCTTCCGAATTCAGTAAAATGAGGACCCAGATTGTTGGGGCAATGTGATGCTCATCTATTTGGTGCTCCTTTGAGCTCAAATAAAAACTTGAAATTTTAAACATCATACACATACACACAAAATTTGCTCTTCAAAGTTAAAAAGGGATTCATGTTGTGTCAAAGAATCTATATATAAAACAGTTGAAATTGTAGAACAATTCAAATAAAGTAACAGGTTTATTTATCGTATTCCTCCTTTCCTCAATAAAATCTTTAGCATTTTTAATGTAGATTAATTCTACATAAAAATCTTGAATTTCTGGATGATGGACTACATATCCTGAGCCTAATGTTATGAGTTTATGTTTACTCAAGTTTATCAGCCTCCAATATGGAGTTAAAATGCTGCAAAATCCTCTAAATCCTCTCTCCAGATTGTGACATTCAATGGTTTCTTACTTCCTTCTTGTCTTCCTTCCTGGATCCTTGGCATAGGATTTTGCATTAAGGCATGCCTAGAATTTTTGGCATGTTTGATCAGACTAGTTTTTGTAAGTATTCAAGCAAGATTGTAATTTATAAGCACCTTCACTTCAGAAATTTACCGAAAAAGAGAGACACAGAGATCAATATGTAAAATGGCTCTCCTAATGGAATGAAGGGGAATGCAATGGCAGAAGGGGAGAACAGAATAGTGTCTACTCAGGATTCTTGCTTTTTTTAAATTTAGTCGTCCATGCCTTTTGGTCAGTAGACACAATATGAAATATTTTTGCTCTCCTGTATTTCTAGTTCACTATAGTGAAGCCATCAAATGGATGATGTAAAAGTGGTTTTGGTTTTGTGTGTGTGTGTGTGTGTGTGTTTGCTGGCCAGCTTGTTGCTGAATCTGATGTTGATTAGGTCTGAGACAGAGCCCAAGGTCACCCAACTGGCTTCTGTGCCTAAGGCAGGATGAGAACCTGGCTCTCCCTGCTCCTAGTCCAGCACCTTAACCACTAGACCAGGCTGGCTCCTGAACTGAATACACAATACAATATATTAAATTTGCTCCGTGCAATCCATATGGATTTTAAAAAAAATGGCTTATCAATGAACATGACAGACTTTGCCCATTATAGAAACGGGCAGATACACAGCCATCTGGATTTAATTCCCACCTTCAGTTCTAAAATGTACATAATATATTTCAACTATACAATTATCTTTAATGTATAAATTGAAATTTGTATCTATTAAACATATGAAATCCAGTTGTATTAGTAGCCTGGTAAAAATCAAGCTACTATACTGGAAATGACTATAATTTAATATGAAACAATCATTAACACATCAGCTGTTTAATGCTCTTTGGAAAATAAGGTACTTTTTGTTGAGTTCTGCAAAATATGATTCTGGTTAGTATATAGGAATTAACTGTATTAGATCTACATGAAGGCAGCAGGAAGGAGGGCAATTACCTAGGATATACTAAGTGAAGTGTTTTTCAGTAGAAATGGCAACAGAGTGAATAACAAAAAAGCAGTAATGGATGCAAGCAATTCTGTTAAAAGAAATGTAAAATAATCCATTATTTGAGTACTATATGCCCCAACTTACTTAGTTTAAATATATATATATATATGTATAAAATTACAGCTTTCTGCAATAGATAAGACTGCATGTTAAGCATTATTTCAAAGTAAGAAATTGTAGTGCTACATTTGATCTTGCCAGCCACAGTATAACTAAAATAGTTTTTTTAGTCAGAAAAGAAGTTTTGTTTTGCATGCTAGACAATCTTGTCTGTAAATGCAACATGCTCTTATTTTGATCTTTACTGACATAAACTTTTTTATTTGTTTTTCTAGGGCTTACTTCAAACTATTTGTCCCTCAGTTCCAGGAGGCAGCCTTTGCAAATGGAAAACTCTAAAAAAAAATAAAAAATGGGGGGGGGGGAAGCAACCTCATCCTGAGAAAATGCCAGACAGATTCTTGTGCCCACATGCTTGTCAACAGATTGCAAGATAACTTCCTGAAGCTTGGGCTTCAGCATTTATTGGCAGGGGGTTTGCTTCTGCAGTTTCATTGTGATCATCATAGACCAACTGAATGAGAACTTTGGCTGATTGACTTCAATACAGGGTCTTTTTTCCCCTCTTCTTTTTCCTATATGCAGAAATGTTGCTTCATTACTTGCTTGATGGAAGCTCAAAATATATTGAATAAATGTGATCCCCCCCCCCTTTTATTTTTTTTTTAATTTCTTTTTCTATGCCAATGTTTAGAGGGGTTTTTTTTTGTGTGTGTGAATTTCTGCATGCTGGAATTTCTTGACACATTAGAAGCACACTGAAAATAAATGTACAATAAATCTGTCATATTATGTCTGTCTCCTAAGTTGATTCTCATGGGAAAGAGAAGGTATGCAATCGGATCAGCCATCAGTTGCCACAAAGATAGGCATGCCGTTTTTAGCAACTTTACTTGCAAATCTTATTGGAGGATTTATTTTCGTATTTTGTTAGTTATCAGAACATAGCTTGACAAAGATTATTTAGTCACAAAGATGCTACAGAAATGGTTGCTATTTAAATAGTGGTTACTAATTTAAGTTAATTCTGTGACATATTATTAATGATTCGAGTTAAATTTTTCATTTTAACTGACATTCGAGAACTGTACGGAAAACTATTACTGGATGCATCATAATTTCTAATATAAAAATAAGACGTTGAGTGTTAGATACATGTTTTTTTCTTTCCTGTGATATATTTAGGCAAATCACTTGCCTCTGACTCGCAATAGAGTAACTTCCCATATTTGTAAATAGCATCAAGGATTTTCCAAATGGAATATAAAGTTCACGATGCTATAGATAGCATATTAGCCATATACCTTATTTCTCCAGAGAGTTAGGAAATGAGCTAACAAATAAATGCACCAACTGTTTGAAAATGTATGAATGCAAGACCTGATATTTCAATATATGGCATAGACTGCATTTTGGTGAACTTATGAATCTTAACAATAATATTTGCATTGAAATATTTAAGGATTATGTTCTGGCCCAAACTTCTGTTAGCCATGAAGCATATTTGATGCTTTTGGGAAGTCGGTGTCCTGCCATCTGTTTGCCTTCAGAAGTCTCTGATGATAAAACTGAAATAACCTATAAAGTTTCTTGGATGAAAACGTTCCAATGTTGCAGATGCATAGTTTGAAACATACATTGTAAGCCCAATGATATGTGACAGATGACAGGCCCCTGAGCAGGATTTAATCTGCAATGGCATCTTTATAAGCATAGCTAACCGTAGGCCAGATTGCACTCCAAGCAAGAAATGTTTACAGATTCCCCCCCGCCCCCCCACTATTCACCTCTTGAAGACCCTTGGGTTATTAAATAATTTGTAGCCATTGCTTACAAAGTGATATGTCAGTATGATTTCTGTCTCATTAAAATTATACCTTATATGCATGGATCAGAATATAGTCATTCTTCACCTCTCATGCGTTTTGCTGAACTGGAAACTCTTGATATGTTGTGGTGGTTACCAAATTAATGCAATATCCAGGTCAACAGCAGTGAAGACAAACTGAATGACTTTCATCTTTTTCATTAAGTAGGCAGGACATGGCAGGTACACCCTATGCCACTTGCCACCAGTTAAATCCAGTCTTACCTAGAAATGGAGGGCAGGCAGCAATTGCAGTGAGAGAAACTGATAATATGTCCTTTTTTTCTTATATTTCTTAGGCCCTTCAACGTGCAAGCCTTTTTTCCCCCTCTGTAACAATAACTACACTAACACAACAAAGTGAAGAGTCACCTTAATGAATCTTAAGTCATCTTTTCTTCGCTCCTCAGTCCTCCTTGAGTGATAACAAGCAGAATGTAGTTGACTCTTACTGCCCTTATAACAATCTTGTTACATTCCATATATAAAATTATATAATTGTTATTTCTAATTATATAAATATCAATTTACATAAATTTAATGAATAAATAACCCAGGCTGTGGGCTTGCTGTTCACCTTGGTTCCAAAGCGGCCTTCTTTTCAACCATTAAACTGTGTTTTGATTTGTACAGCTGTATATCGTATGTCGAGAATGGGAGTAGAAAAGAGGGAAAGCCAAGTTCAAATACAGAAATACAGAAACACAGAAACAGTTGGAGCATCAAGAAATGAAGGGGGCCTTTTTATGGTATAAGGGAACTAAAACACAGGGTTATTTTAGAAGACATTATATACGGGAGTCTTTGTGGTTAAACTGGGAGAAGATTAAAAGACAATGTTATTTGAAAATTTTTGAAAGTTTGAAAGTTTGGTTATCGACTATTGAAGCATTTTCCTATCCTATAATTTATAAGAAGGAACAAACAGTTAGATATGGGGAATTATTGGATGAAAAGGGTGAACTTAAATCTATGCAAAATCTAGAGGAACAAGGTATAAAGATGAATTGGTTTTCATGTGCGCAAATACACTCAAGGTATGATGAAGATTCTAAAACAGAGGGATTTTATGATAAACAGACTGATCTAGATAAGATTTTGACAGGTACTGATGAAAAGGTGATTAAAAAATTATATGGTTATTTACTGGGAATTAAGCTAGAGGAAGAACAAGTTAAAGAAACTATGATTGCTTGGGGGAAGAATTTTGGATATGGGATTGATTTAGAGAAATGGCAAAAAATATGGTCGCAAAATTATAAAATGACAATGTCAACAGCTTATAAAGAAAATCTGTATAAGATGTTTTACAGGTGGCACTTTCCCCGACAAGGATAGCAAGAATGTTCAAGAATAAATCTGAAAAATGCTGGAAATGTCATCAGATACCTGGCTCATATTACCATATGTGGTGGACTTGTAAGGACGCTAGAAAATATTGGACTAAAATCCGCATGTGGTTGGAAAAAATGACAAAGAAACACATAGATTTGAAACCGGAGTTTTTTTTATTGGGAATCTTACCAGATACATACAGTAAAGACTTGAAATATCTGATTGTAAATGTATTAACAGCAGCTAGGATTGTATTCACTAAAAAATAGAAAAATGAGAAAATACCATTGCAGGGAGAAATTATTAAGAAAATATTGGAATGTGCTGAGATGAGTAGATTGACATTTGAAATTAGAGAGCAAGAGGATAAACAATTCTGTAAAATTTGGGACCTTTTCTATCAATGGTTGGATGATAAAATACAATAATAGAATATTTAGAATGTTAGATAACAAGGAATATCTTTGTCTTTTCTTTTTCTTTTGTTATTTGACATCATATCTATAAAGTGTTTTTAGGATAGATTTGGTATGATTATATGATTCGTTATAGAATAAATTACCTAAATTATAGTTATCTCATAAAGTATGAATGAATAAAATTATAGTCAAATGATTTTCTAATAGTGATACTAGGATATATAAGTTTGGATTGATAATACAAGTTATTATGTAATGTAACTGTAATTGAGACTACGAAATGAATGCACAAAACTGATGAGCCAACCGACACACTGCTTGTGTATGGAAGAGAGCTGATGTTTTTATGTTCTGTTTGTTTTGTTTGTTTGTTTTTAAAAAAACAATAAAATTGTTTTCAAAAAAAAAAAAAGAAATGAGGGGGGGAAAGCAGGCAGAGAATACTTAACAGAGACCCTGCTAATTTGCTGAGGCCACAATCCAAACAGTTGAATAAGTCCCCAGTGCAACTTAGGAAAGAAAAAAACCCTCTAAACATGAGGCTTTTTGTGAATCAATGCAGAATAAACACAAAATTAAATGGCTAGAGAACACATAAGTACTTAATTGTAAGTGCCTCCAGTATAAATGGAGAGTAAACATCTAACATTTTTATACCTGCTGCTCTCTAGAGCTTGTTAGTCCTAGCAGTAGCTGACAAATTAATACTCTTGCTGAATAAATGGCCTTTGCAAATCACCTGCGGGGAAAATTGATCTTTGAGTTGCTACATGTTTACATCAAAGTGTATTGAAGCCATAGTCTCGGGGGTTTTTTCCCACTTGTGAGGATTTTGCAGGGCTGTGCCAATGAAATGCAGAACTCTTGTGTGCAATTTCAACTGTGTAGAATTGTAGAAGCCTTTGACTTGCAATGAAGCAAATAATTTTATCAACTAGTTACATCCACCAATGAGCCCGTCCACTTTTGGCATACTGTTTCTTTTAACCCACCATTCCCTGCAGCTGAACAAATGCTTTTAACAGAGATCTTAAAACTAGCAAAAAGTATCCTCCTGACATGACGACAAAACGTGTCTTTCTTGATTAAAAGAGACACATGGATCTAATACACACATAATCTACCCATAGTTCTGTTAATAGGTCTGAGCGCAGTAGTTGCTGGGATCATCTCTCCTTTGCATGATCAATGCAGCAGATGCAAAATTTCAGAACAGCTTGGGAGGGTGGAAGAGAGAATCGTATCTCAGCAACTTTTCCTTTATACAGTACTTGTTTTCCAATTTCATTTAGCCTTCCGCTGAACAAATGAAGTGGAATGGTGTTTTCTTGTCTCTTCAAGAGGGGAGTTTTTGAGAGAAGCAGTAACTTTATGGGACTTCTAGAAAGCCAGCATACGTAACATCTTCATTCTCAGGGAATCGGGTGGCTTAATAGGGCAGTTTCCACACAGATGTGGATTATATAATTATACACTGGATGTTGGTGTGTCTGGCTGTAATAGCACCTTGGGCTCTTTTTATAAATGACTCAACTTTTGTTTGAGCCTAATTACGGGCTACTTGGATATAGAAGCAAAGTAACTGGATCTTGTGTCCAAGTAGATTGGCCCCTGCAAAGCTACATAAATCTCTGGATGTTTTATCAGAGTGCAATGGAAAATATAAAAGGAAGTCTTTAAGTATTATTAGACACTGGAGACAGTTCCGATGTTGCTTTCTGTCATTTTGTTCAGCTGCAACAGATGGTTTCTTTCAGTAGCCTCAAGTTATCAGGATAAGCTTGATAACATCAAACACCTTGGATCCTGCACGGAATTTTTGCCACCAAATCCACTTCCTGTAATTCCATTCCTTCATATGTATTTTTCAAGTTTGTTTGGGGCTTTTATCTTGTTTGTACTTCATTTTATGTCTCAAGTTTTGATCAGTTTTGATTTATTCATATGAATAAAATAGCTGCTACTGTGCTTAAGTTCTTGGGGGCAGGGGGGAGTTTATTTGAGATTCAACAAAGATTCTAGGGAAGTAAATTTATAGTTGTTCTGTTAGTCAAAAAATGTAATAATCAATAGGTGCAATTACTACTGAAAAGGACAAGATATGCTGAGCTTCCAATTACACTCACAGCCAGATTCTTCAGAGGACAAACCGGTAATTCTGAATTTTAAAATTATATCCCTTTAAATTCCTAATGGTAACTTGGTAGCCCTTAACCAGTATCATCATCAGGATCCCGATGGGTTTTTTTTTTAATTACTAAAACAAAATTGGCAAATTACAAAAGCAGCGCCGTACACTCCATTGTTGGACTAAACTTTGAGCAAATATGTATCGGCTTGGGCTGACTGTGGTTGCATTTTTTTCTACTACCTACTGAAGACCCTATAAGCATGTGGAGTCACTGCCTAGCCTGCATAAAAACATCGACTGCAACTATATTGCATGATGGTGACAACTTGTAACACAGGTTTGAAATGTGCTGTGCTGCCTTATTGCACAATTGAAACAAAACAGCCAAACAGCTGCGGTTTTCCTTTTCCACCTCTGCTGCTTTTCCTTTCACTGTTTGGCTTCCTGTGTCCCAGCTGCTTGCATCTGTAGCACCTTCTCCTCCATTTGCTCTGTCTTGTTCGGCTCCCAAGAAAGGGCACCAAATGCCAATTCTCCCATTGTTACTTCTTTGCAAGGAACTAGCAGTGCTTACTTGAAGCCTTGAGCCTCCAGTGCTGCTGCTTATTCCCACTGCCACAAAGGCACAGAAGTCTCACTTTCTGTGTACAGCTCTCACAGGCTGCCATGTTTTCTTTCTTCTCCACTTTAACCACAGAGGCGCTGAGATTATTTGCAGCAATAATGATTGTAAAGGAGATGGTCATTTATATCCACAGAGAAATTATCCCATGCATCCAAGATGCCATGAACCCTAACTGGGGGAGGGGGGGAAATACATGCATATTTTTTTTATTTCTCCTCTCTTGCCAGACTATAATAGTAAGAGATTATGTACAGGAGGGACTTGGCACCCCATAGTGCAGGCTGACCGATTTGATAAAAGCTCCCCAAGACAGGGATGGTGCTCACCAGGGGTGGGATTCAAATTTTTTAACAACCGGTTCTGTGGGCATGGCTTAGTTGGTGGGTGTGGCTTGGTGGTCATGTTATTGGCTGGGCATGGCCAACTCAATATCACTCACATTGAGGCATGCATCTCCTCGCCTGGCCTCTCATGACTGTGGGGATGCTGCAACAGTCATAAGTGTGAAAA